GCCCATTTAAACAAAAAATTTGAGTCCAGCAAATAATATAGGAGTGTCATGGCTAAGCAGAAAGCGATGCAAATCTCTAACAGGGCCAAGAGAAATAAAAGTATGTTTTAAATTAAAGCAATTCTGAACTTGTAATTCCTACAGCATTTGAAGTTTTAGTACTCTGGGCAGGGACTTTTATAAATATGTGGGGTTAATTGCAGAGAGTCAGCCATTGGATTTCTAGAGAAGTGTTAAAAAAATACAGAGGGGTGGGGGAAGGGATATTTCTTTCTAGGAAGTGGCTCATGTGCTTATAGAGGTTGGCAAATCCCAGGTATGTTAGTCATACCTCAGGAGAAAGGGGTCTGGGGAAGTAAAAATATCCAAGACTGGCCAACTGACTTCCAAAGGAATCTGGAGAGGCTAGCAAGTTCAAAATAAGAGGGTTTCAGAGGCTGCTGAGTCCAACCAGAGATGGCAGGCTGGCTTCAGAGGGTGACAAGGCCGAGCATGACAGGAGCATGCCGCCTTCATAAGAGAGATGCTTTATCAGGAAAACAAGCTCTCTTGTTTTGTCAGAGTCAGCCCATACATATATTCAGTGCAGGCCATAGTCCTGAGCAGACTTCCTCTACCTCAGATCAGGTTGATCATATAATTTTATAACTGAAGCTATGGTGGCCTAATAGTAAGAAGCTGTGCTGCCATCCTGAAGGCAAGTGGTTCAAATCCACCAGCTGCTCTGCAGGAGAAAGATGGGCAATCTCTTCCCATGTGATTAACTGCCTCTACTACCTCGCTGGAAGGTCAGCTATGGGCGCGTTCCAACTAAACGGGACATAAAAACAACAATACTGCCTTATTAACATCAAGTCAACTACAACTTATAGCAACCCTATGAACAGCAAATTAGAACCTTGCCCTATTTTGCCATCTCTGATATGTTTGAGCCCATTATTGGGTTCCCTGTGTCAGTGTATCTTATTGAGGGTCTTCCTCTCTTTCTCTGACCTTCCTTTCCCAACATGATGTCTTTTTCCAAAGACTGGCCCTCCTGACAACTTGTCCAAAGTGTGTGAGATGAAATTTCACAACTCTTGCCTCTGTGGAACGCCCTGGTTGCATTTCCTCCAAGACAGTTTATTCTTTGCAGTTTATGGGATAGTCAGCACCCTCCCCTACAGCAAACTGATAGATAAGTGTCGTACCATAAGAGCAAACCATAAAACAAGCAAGTATACAAATATTATAAAAGAAATATAAATCCTATGGGAAACAACAAAGATTCTCACCACTGTGCCAATTGGCAACATCAGTATGGATGGTGAAGGGATTGAAGATAGTTAACAGTTTTGGTTTACTTTGCTTCACAGTCAACACTCTTGGTAACAGCGGCCAGGAAATCAAGAGATGAATTGCATTGGGAAAGTCAGCTATGAGGGACCTCTCAAGAGTACTGAAGAGCAACGATGTCAGGCTGGAGACTAAGGTGCGCCTGATCCAGGCTATAGTCTTTGCAATTATGTGCTATGTATTGAAGAGTTGGACAGTGACTAGGGATGATAGAAAGAGAATTGATGCCTTTGAGCTGTAGAGCTGGAGGAGAGTGTTGAATGGACTGCTAGGAGAACAAACAGGTTTGTCCTGGAGAGGGTGAAGCCAGAATGCTCCTCGGAGTCAAGGATTCTGAAGCTTCATCTGACATACTTTGGACATGTTGCAAGGAGGGACTGGTCCTTGGAGAGGGACAGCATGTTTAGCAGAGTGGAGGGGCGGCACAGGAGAGGAAGACACTCAATGACATGGATCGATTCTGTGGTTGGGGTGGTGGGAATAAGTGTGTTTGAGATGGCTAGCTTGGCACAGGATAGAACAGCGTTTAGAGCTCTTGTACATAGGGTTGCTATGAGTCGCAGGAGACTCGATGGCACATAACAACAACAACAACAACATGGGAAATAGGGAGGGGAAAACCCATATTGGCTTGGGACAGTGTTTCTGTCAACTCAGAAGAAGACTGGAGTTGGGGAAATTGGGGTGCCCAGCCATGTCAAAGTTTCTGCTCATCTGAATGGTAACTGAAGCCCACCATATGGATAACCCCTTTTCTGGTCTGGGATATGCTGAGGGTGTGTTAAGAGGTGGGACACTCAGCCTGGTGCAGAGTTTCTGCTGACTTCAGGAAAGCCTGTGTTCGCCTGCTTGGCTAGAGAGTGCATGGGATGGGTACCCAGTCAGAGATGGTTAATGTGAAGAGACTGTAACTGCTTGTCTGACATGTCCAAGCCATGGAGTGTTTCAGGTAAGGGTAAACAGTAAAAGGAATGGATCCCCGTCAGAGGAGGTGCCCCCTCTAATCCAGGGACTAACTGTGGGTTAAATGTGGCACAGTCCATCAGCTCTGGGCGGAATATCCTGAGAGCTTTCGTCTGCAGATACAAGACAGTGTGGGCATGACCTGAGGAAGAGAGGGAGGGGTCTCAGGGGTCAGGCACAGCGGATTGAACCATTACAGCTGTGAGGATATTGCTGCTGCCCTCCTGAGTTCTCCCACCATGTTGACAGGTGTTAAAGACAGCTATGCTAGTCAAGATTGCTCTTCTTATTCGATGTTTCAAGTCACTCTCTTCAGTCAGTGTTTGAATTACTTCCTCATTATTTCTTGTTAGACTGTGAGTTGAAGAATTAGCATTTCTGTTATCCTTGTTTTCTGGTGTCTTCAGTGCAGAGGTTCTCAACTATTGTCTGTCTCGTGTGACATCTTGACGAACTGTGTCACAAGGGGTAGCATTTATAACACATAAGATAGTTACATTATACTGAGAACTATGGCCATGTAGGCATACAATATTAACCATTAGTAGCATCAGTTAGAAGCTGGAACAGTCATCCATTAATATGTTGTTGTTGTTGTTGTTGTTGTGTACCATAGAGTTGGAACCAATTCATAGTTGACCCTGCTGCAAGTTTTCAGAGGCAGTTAATTGCACAGGAGGAGATTGCCCACCCTTCTTCCGTAGAGCAGCTGGTGGCCTTGAACAGCATGCCTTCAGGATTGCAGTGCAGCCCTATCTACAAGAGCACCCTATCTACAAGTATACATGGTGGTTTCTTGGTGCATGTTAAATGCCACTGGGGGTGGGTGGGGGGTGGGAATCCTCCTATTGGATCCTACAGAAGATTTTGGGGCATTGGGGTGTGTCTCTTTCTTAACTCGTTTCTCTAATTTGTAGCGATCTTTTTTCCAGTGCCTGAGTTTCTTGAAGTAATTTTAAGTGCCAGGTTTAGTGCCTCCAGAAGGTTTTGCTGGTTAGGTGATTACAAGTGTTGTAATTGTAAAACTGGTAACTCATTTCAGAGGATTTTTTAGTCTCCAAGATCTGAGAAACTTTCTGAGCTAAATTGACGACCTCAGCAATGGAAGCTACTTTTCTATATACTTGATGTGTTTTACTGGGTCTGGAAGTCCAGATTGTAAACAGGACAGGAATAAAGCATTAAGAACTTCTAAGTGTGTCTAAGGAGTAAGAGTAACATGGAGAGGATCTTCATTTTCTCTCCTGGAGACACTTAAAAGCCATTTTGGGAATTGGCTTTATGTTTTCACCAGGTTCATTAAGTTAAGGGGAATGGAATGCCGTGACAAAGTATTAGTTGTTGTGTGTACCATGGAGTTGGAACTGACTCATAGCTGACCCAGTTGCAGGTTTTCAGAGGCAGTTAGTTGCATAGGAGGAGATTGTCCATCCTTCTCCCGCTGGGCAACTGGTGGATTCGAACCATGTACCTTCACATTGCAGCACATCTTCTTACCACTAGGCCACCAAAGCTCCCAAAGTATTAGTAGAGGAATATTTAGTAGCATAAGAGAAGCAAGGAGGCAGAAGAGGATGCAACACTCTTTGGGAAATAGCAGAAGCAGTACTCAGTGGTCAATTTACAGCAATAAATGTCCACATCAAAAAAAGAAGAACCCAAGTCAACATTTTAGCCCAACATCTCAGAGAATTCAAAAAAGAAAGCAAGTAAACACTACAGCTTTCAAATGAAAGGAAATAATCAAGAGCAGAAATAAATGAAGCAAAAAAAAGCAATGGGAAGAATCAAGACGTGTTAGTTGCTTTTATGCGATCAAGTCAAGTAGCGACCTTATGAGCAAAAGATCTGAACCCTGTTCTATCTTGAGCCATCCTCACACTTCCTGACACACAACAGCGGCAGTCACCCTGTCAGTCTACCTGGTCAAGAGTCTTTCTCTCCTTCGCCAACCCTCCACCCATCTGAGCATCTTGTCCCTCTCCAAGGAATAGTCTCTTCTTGCAACATGCCCAAAATATGTGAGGCGAAGCCTCATCACTCTTGCCTCCAAAGAGCAGTCTGAATATGTCCCCTCCTTTTCATCCTTCAAGAATGCTAAAGTGCAGAAACCACCTTTCTTATACAATACTTCTTTTCTACCTACCTTCCTTAGTTTCTTCTATTATCATCTTGTTTATCTATTTCATAGCACTTAGCACAACTTGTCATGTGTTTCATGTCAGTCCCTTAGAATACAAACTATGAAGAGCTCTATGAAGGCAAGCTCTATCCCAGCAGATTTCCAATGGGAACAATTTATTTGGAGACCTCTTTGGTGGTCACAGTGGGGTTGGGTTGCTACTGGCATCTGGTGGGCAGAGGTCAAGGATGCAGTCAGAGACCCTACAATACACAGAACAAGTCCCACAATGAAGGATTATCTAGTCCAAAGTTACAAAGGTGCCAACATTGCGAAAGGCTTATCTTATTCCTTGTTATCTCCTCACTGCCTAGCACAGTCCTTGATCCCTAGTGAGTGTTCTAGAAGTATTTATTTATTGCAAGAAATAAGAATTGAGTAATTAAATAATGACTTGCAGAATTAACTATAGGAGAGTTGAGCTGAACATAAATATCCACTGAAGCTGCTGTGCATTAATCTTTCCCTTTTTTATGGCATTCTTTCTGTCCTAGGAAAATAAGCTTTATGAATATTAATAATGGCTGCACAAAGAAGACAAGGTTTCCATGGTCAAGATAATAAATTTCAAGAAAATCATTGGTAAGCATCTTCTCTGAGTTTGCAAATGAAAAACAAATGCGATTTTGCTCATGGAAATTTAGGAGAAGAAGAATACTGACTATCCCGTGGACAGTGAGAAGAGCAGTGGAGTCTGTACTGGAGGAACGAGGGTGCACTTTAGAGGGAAGGATGGTGGAATTTTGTCTCACATACTTTGGACAGGTCGTCAGGAGGGATTGGTTCTTGGAGAGAGACATTATGCAGGGAATGGTAGAGAGGGTCAGGGAAGGAGAGGAAGACCCTCAACAAGATGGTTTAACAGTGACTAACAATGGGCTTGGGCCTGGAGGAGACAGCCGAATGATGCATGACAGGGCAAGGTTCAGATCGGTTGTTCATTGAGTCTCTATGAGTCGTAGTTGACTCAATGGTACCTAACAACAACAACAAAAACAACAACAACAACAACAACAACAACAACTCTGCCTTGAGGTGAGATTGAGTGAACATGGATCATTATGTCACTAAATCTACGTGAGGATGATCTGCCTACCAGAACAATATAATAAAATGTCTTATAATCATGGAGTCTGTACTGCACCAGAGAATTCTCCTGTTACTGCATCAAAAAAGAAAACACTTCTGGAATCCTTTCAGGGGCCTTAGGGAAGGGGGAAGCAGGGGTAGTGTGGAGTCAAGGTTCAATGCTAGATCACTGAGCATCACTTTATGTCTTACAGCAGGAGGAGAAATGCTGACAAGGGGCCAAAGAAGCAAGTGAGCCAGAAGAACACCAGTGGACTTGACCAAACTGCAGACACAGGACTACTGGTCACTCATGTAAACCAGACTCAGGACTTACTGGTAAAGACCGTAACGCTTTAACTGATGCTGAAATCTTAGTCAGGGAATGCAGAGTGGTTGTTTTCTGAACACTCCTTTCTTTATATAGATTCCCAGGATTGAAATAATTAGTCAAGCATTTATTTCTAACCCTCCTCTTCTAGGAAGAATCTCTACACCACTGAGAGACATTGTACAGCACTCTTGACCACACTGTTAAATATTCAAGAATGTGAAAATTCTGCCAACATTACCAAAATTTGACGTTTAAGTTACTTAATTCTAAAATTTCCTCTCTTAAGGTGTAATTTTTTTAAATTGTTGTTGTGTACCACAGAGTTGGAACAAACCCACAGCTGACCCTCTGGTGGGTTTTCAGAGGCAGTTAATCACACGGGAGGAGATTGCCCATCCTTCTCCTGCAAAGCAGCTGGTGGCCTCGAACCATGTGCCTTTGGGATTGCAGCACAGCTTCTTGCAACTAGGCCGGATTAGAGGAGCAAAATCAATCTCTTTAATACCTGAACTGTGGCTTTATTTATGTCGACTCCTGATAAGAAAAAAAGTACAGTTTTCTTAAAATAGAGAACAGATTGTTCAGAATTCACAATGTATTGCGCAGTGGAAACAGTTGTCATCGGTGGTGTGTGGTGCAGGGCTAGCTCATAATCATCTCTCTAATCTACACTCACTCGCTGTTGTCAAGTCCAACCGTCCATCAAGTTTCCAAGGCTGAAAATCACAATCAAAAGACACTGCCCATTTTTCTCCCAAGGAGCCACTGGTGGATTCGAGCTAGAGTTGAAATATGATATCTTTTGAAATTGTAATAGATCAAAACAGTACATTTTTTAATGCCAGCAATTAAACAGTGAAGAAAATAGTCATATATTATTTTTCTCAAGTTTTTTACATTTAAGGGAAGGCAAGTTTAACTCTAAATAACATGAAGAAAGGTGAATGGAGGAAGCTCAAGTGACCCAGTGGTAAGGAGCTATACTGCAGTCCCAAAGGCAAGTGGTTCATATCCACCGGTTTCTCCACTGGAGAAGGATAAGCAATGTCTTCCCGTCTGATTTACTGTCTTTAAAAACCTGCTGGAAAGTCAACTGTGGGTAGGTCCCAACACAGCAGTGACTTTAAAAACAAGAAAGAGATGACTGGAAATCATAAGTCTCTGTAAACTTTCATTAAAATTTATTTTAAAAAAAGAAAGAAAAATGAATGGAATCTTGACATTCATAGAAACATTTGAGTAGATTTCAGACAGTGATAGAATATATCTAAATTCATATCAAAATGTATGACTTCCCAAGTGTGTGAGGACCACTTTTCTTTAGACTTCTCTAGGACCTCCGTTGAGCAAATAAACATCAGTAGGACATAGGGAAAGGATTGCCCCCTTACAAAAAATGTTATACAGATTTCCCAGCGTTGTTACTTACTGTCCCATCAGCAGCAGATTGTGTTGACCTTATGTATAACAGGCTAAAAAATGAATCCTGCACCATCTTCGTGATAATTGACGTGTTTGAATTCATGGTTGCATTTGCTCTGTCAGTCCATCTCATTGAGGGTTTGCTTTGCCTTCGCTGACCCTCTGCTTCACCCAACACGATGTCCTTCTCTAACAATTGACCCCTCCTGATGATGTGTCCAAAGTAAGCAAGTTGAAGTCTTTGATAATATGCTAGGTGTGATCACAGGTCTTTCGTTCATAGAGTCGCTCTGAGTCGTCTAAGACTCAACGGCACTTAACAACGACAACAAAGAGAGAGCTACGTTGGTCTAGTGGATAGAAAGTTATGCTACCAAGCCCAAGGTGGGTGATTTTAATCCGTGGTCCTCAGGCCTGGTTTAAATTGTTTTTGGTCAAACATTCTTCTAGGTGATATAGCACTGGTCAGTCCATTTGCTGTGCAGAGGTAACTCACGGTTGCTGTGATGTGGAACACTGTGACACTGATGTGTCAAATGCATTAATGGTAACCCATGGCGGACAATGTTTGTTGGAGCTCCCCAATTAAAACAAGCTTGGAAGCAGGAGTGGCATCCACTTCCGAAACAGTTTGCCTCTGGAAACTCTAGGAACAGTGCTCAGGCCTTTCATTCATAGGGTCGCTATGAGTTGTCTATGACTTGATGGCACTTAACAACAACAACAACATGATCATAGGGTTTTCACTGGTTTGTATTTGGAAGTCGATTACCAGGTCTTTTTTCCTATTCTAACTTAGTCTGAAAGAACCATTGCGACTTGCCTGCCTGACCCTGCTGACATAGCTTCTAGTCTCATAGTACAGCACACTGACAGACAAGACTTGTTCGTTTTGTCTTGTAGTAAAAAAGCACATAAAGTATATTTAAGACACCTGTTTTTTTATATTCTACAGTCTAGTCTTTAATGTGTTTATTAGTGGTCCCTCAAATTTCGATAATACTGAATCTGTGTCTTAAATGACCTTTTTAAGTGCAAGAAAAGTGGAAGGAAAGTAAGGTAAGAGTCTACCGGCTCAGACGGCTTAGCTGTGAAAGACTGAAAGAGTGCCCTCTGCTGTTCAGACAATGTGAAGCCCTGTTTCCTTCAGTATAAAACAGGTGTCCTGGTTTTGAGTACTGCTCTTTGAAAAGCAAAGGAAAAATTCTTTCATTGTTTTACAATCCCTTCCCCCAGGTCCACTCCACTCCACAGCCTTTGTTCTGGACTCCTGTCATGACAAAAATACCTAATCACATATTCCTTTTACTGGGGGGAGGGGGAGGCGGGGAGGCAGGGAGAAAAGTGCAAGAATGAATGAATGATAATCCAAAATCTGTAAATTTTCATTAAAATTAATAATAATTTTAAAAACGGAGTACTGCTCTAGAACAGTACTGAACATTCCACAGATTTCCAAAAGAACAAACAATCTGTCTTGGAGGAAGGTGCAAACAGAGTGTGCTTAGAGACAAGGATGGGGAAACTTCGCCTCATACTCTGAGCATGTTTTCAGGAGGGACCTGTCCTTGGGAAAAAAAGACATCGTGCTTGGAAAGGTTGAAGGTCAGAGCTATTGAATCCCGACTACTCAATGGCACGTAACCACAACCACAACAGCTCCACCACTTACTACTTGAGACCCGAGAGGTGTTACTTTCATTCTTTCTGCCTTGTTTCCTTGTCACTAAAATGAGGTTAGTGATAGAAACTACAATATAAAATTAATGGAAGGAGCTTGACACCTAAGTGTGGTTTAAGTGCTTGCTTCTTTAAGTGTAATTGAAGATACGTACTATTTAAGTGTAATTATTAGTATGATTTTCACACTTCTTTAACACTTTCCAATTTTGTTTTGAAACAGAGAGAGAGAACAGGCCTTAGGCATAGAATTGAGAGCTCACCATGCGGTGTAGCTGGAATTTAGCAGCAGCATTTGATTTTTTTTTCTCATTTATTTTATTATATTATTTTGTGTGTGTGTACTGTCAAATCAGATCTGACTGGTACAGGAGGAGATTGCTCCTCCTTCTTTAGCAGAGCATCTGGTGGATTTGAACTGTGCACCTCAGGGATTGCAGTGCGGCTTCTTGCCACTAGCCACCAGAGTTGGCCTCGATTTTCATTGTCTTTGTTTTATAGCTACCTTCCACTCTGGTGGAATAGTCTGTAAAGCCTTGTGTTGCTAACCAAAACATGGTACATGTCTGGTGTTTTGAATCCACCTGTGGCTGCAGTGGGAGAAAGAAAGTCTCCTTCCGTTAAGATTTACAGCCTGGAAAACCTGATAGAAGGTCACTAGGAGATGAGAATTCATAAAATGTTCCATATTTTGTATACTGATAGAATGATTGCATGTTGATGCCTATTTATAGGTTAGGTATATAATGCCTTCATGTTCATCATTTGCTCTTGTGAGTATAGCACTTGTCTGTTGGTTTGCTGTACTAGGGTGACTTGACTTTGAAGGCAAAGTAGGAAGCAGGATTAGCCATCCACTTCTGAAATAACAGGCCTTCAAAACCCCTATAGGCAATAGAGGAACATGGTTCGATATAGGGCTGGAACTAAAGCCAAAATTGGAAGTCACCCACAATGAGGCATCATCTCACTCCAGTAAGAGAGTCAAAGTTTAATAGAGCAGCAAGTAATAACTATTGGAGAGGATGGGGTGAGAAAGGAACTCTTATACATTGTTGGTGGGATTGTAAAATGGTACAACCATTCTAGAAGGCAGTTTGGTACTTCCTCAAAGAGCTGAACATAGAAATTCCATATGACCCTGCTATTCCACTGCTTGGAATATACCCTGAGAATATGAAAACTGAGGTACAAACTGAGATTTGTACACCAAAGTTCATAGCAGCATTATTCACCATCGTAAAAACATGGAAACAGCCCAAATGTTCGACCACAAACGAATGGATTGAGAAATTATGGTACATTCACACAATGGAATACTATGCAGCAAAAACTATGGCCCACTGCCCATTGCTTTTACTTTTGACCTGGAAGGGTCATTTCTCCTTTCAGTAGTTAATGAACAAGCGTTTGTTGAGGACCCCCTCAGCCTGATGGGAGGTAGAACTCACATACCTGAAAAGATTGTGAACATAAATGTAGAAATAGGCCAAGAGCACTGATCCAGGATGGGAGAGGTCCACTGTCACTCACGTTCAGCAGGAGGCAGTAGGTGGGCAGGGAATAGGGACGTGTGGTAGTTAACACAAGGGAAGGTTTTAGGTATGTGCTCAGCAGAGTCATGCAGACATAGGGGGTAGAATAACTAGATGTGGGGTGTCTTATGTGATTGGTTTGGATTTATTGCCTTTCTCTGAATCGTCCTGAGTTGAAAATAGAGGAGGGGGGGGAAATAGAAAAGCTCGCCATCCTTGACCAAGTGTTCACTTTCCAGAACGTTGATTCTTGGACTCGGTGCAGATGTTCTTCTCTCATTCTAGCTATTGTTTCTTTGTGTTCAGCCTCCTGCAAGGTGGCACGTAGTGAATGACCCGTGAATTGTCTAGCCACATATGGTACCTTCAGGTGGGACTGTGGTATGTCAGGGGGATGGTGGGTATTGCCAGGTTAACTGGCAGAACTCAGGGCTCCACATCCATATGTTCCCTCAGCAAGGTGAGTTCTTAAATCAGACCTGCACAGTCGGAGTTGGCAACCCTTGGGCATCCGTGTGAAGGAAACCCAGCAGCATCCCATCACCCTCGCGCGCTCTCGCCACAATTTTTGGCCTGACTCTGGTTTCTATCTTGCAGAAGCTGCAGGAAAGTAAAAGCCAGCCTTCAGCTTGGGAGGGCTCTGAAGAATGGCTGCTAACGCACAGTTTACAGTCTGAGAAACTCACCTTGCCTGACCTGCTAAGCCAGGGGACACCTGTTCTGTAAGTGGGAGGCCTCCCTTTGTCCCCAAGCCTGCATGACACACCCAGCCTCCTGGGACCCAGAGACCCCTTCATAAAGCTTTTTGTTTCTTTAGGGAGGAGGGCAGCAATGTCCGACAGAAAGTCCATTTCTCCACCGAGATCATCCACCACTTTGAATCAAAGCTTTCTCAGTAAGTATCTTTCTCAGGGCCTTCCCAATAGTCCCAAAGGTCAAGAACTCTCTTGTTTTCAGCGTCCTGAATACAACAGTGTTCCAACAGAATGTCTTTCCACTTTAGGCCGACTTTCTGCTTCTCTGAGGTGCCAAGTGGTGCCGTGGTTAAGTGCTTGGCTGTTAACCAAAAGGTTATTGCTTCTAACACACTCGCCACTCTGTGACAGAAAGATGTGAAGATTTGCTCTCTTAAAGTTAAAAAAAACAACATTCAAACTGATCATGATTGAGCTGGAACCTACTCAGAGCTGGCCTTGCAGGGGGTTTTCCGAGGCTGTAAATCTCACAGAAGGAGATTGCTCATCTCCTGAGGGGCCTCTGGTGGATTTGAACCTCCAGAGAGGCACCACCTTTGGTTAACAGTGCACCTCCCTACAAGCTGTGACATCAGAGCTCCACCCTCAAAAAGCCACAGCCTTAGAAACCTTGCAGGCACTCCTACTTATCCTTTTAAGATCTCTGTGAGCTGGAATGGACTCCTGGCTATAGGTCTGGCTTTCCTCTTCTCTCAAATGACAAGGTGAGACCAGATCAGTGGTTCCAAATCCATGGTCCTTTTGGACAACCATAAAATCTCATGACCTCCTTTGGTGTTTAATGGTAATAATAATGACCACACTTTCAATGTCAAGTTGGTTGGCAGATAAAAATGTCAAAGAGTGTGCCCCTACTCCTGACCTCGATTTTTAAATTTTTTTAAATTTTATTTTAATATTTTAAAAATAATTTTAATGAACATTTACAGAGATTTTGCATTTCCATTCATTCATTGCTGCACTTCTCTCCCCCACCAGCCCTTCCCCCACCCCTGTTCTCTTCTTTCTTTGAAAGGTAAAAGAAACACTCCCTCCCTGGTACACAATCCCCCCCGCACCCTTCCCACCGCCCCAAGTACATTCCACTATACAACCTTAATTGTGGACTCTTGTGATAACCATAATACCCTATCATACATTGCTTTAAAATTATTCTCTCCCTCATCTATTTCAGTGCAGTATACACAATTTATCCAGTTTTCCTCAGTCTTACCCCAACCCTGATATCAGTCCCATTTTACAGCAGTGGCATCATGCAGTATTTGTCCTTTTGTGACTGAGATATTTCACTCCGCATAATGTCCTCCAGGCTCACCCATTTTGAATAATATTGCATGTTTTCCTTGTTTTTCAATGCAGCGTGGTAGTCCATTGTGTGAATATACCACAGCTTCTCTATCCGTTCATTTGTTGATGGGCACCTGGGTTGTTTCTAACTTCTTGCTATTGTAAACAAAGCTGCAATAAACATGGGTGTGCATATATCTGCTTGGATGTCAGTTATGGTCTCTTTGGGGTATATTCCCAGTAGTGGAATTGCTGTGTCAAATGGTATCTCTATTTGCAACTTTTTGAGAAAGTTCCATACCGCCTTCCACAGTGGTTGCACCATTTTACATTCCCACCAACTGTGAATAAAGGTTCCAGTTTCTCCACAACCTCGCCAGCATTTGTTGCTTGTCTGACCTTGATTTTAGTGCCACATATACATATGAAAATAAACACACAGCTGCCTGCCAACTCACCAATACACCTCTTGATGGTCAGTAGGCAGAACTGTCCCTCCGATTTCATTCCAGTTCTAGTAGCCTCTTACCAGTAAACACTCCACCATTGCTTGCCTGAGTGTTCTTAAAAGGTTTCAGTCATGATTAATAAGCAGTAAAGTAATTGCTGCCAAGTTGACTCTAGCTCATGGTGAACCTGTGTGTGGTAGATCTAGTACAGCTGTCTGCCGCTGGGTTTTCAGTGGTTGATTTTCAGAACTCCACCACCAGGCCTTTCTCACAAGCTATTGTGAATGGATTTGAATTGCCAGCCTGTAGAGTTAGCCTAAAGTTGGTTTTTTAGCCATTACTTTTGTCTCTTCTGGTCTCCAACTACCTTCATTGTGGACACATCATGGTCTCACAAATGAGCAACAGCTGGAGGATCAGTATAAGTGAGCACTCTCCACACTGTGGTGGGTGTGTGAAAACACCAACACAGGAGCAGCAGTGTGACTGTGTTCAAGCGTCCAGTGGCGCCCAGCCTGGACCACTGCTCTCCAGATTTTGTGGGGGAAAAAAATCAATCTGCATACCTGCAGTCACGTAGGTAATTCCCCTGATGGGTCTGACTCTCTGTAGGACCTTCTAGCAAATCTTTCCAAACTCAAAAGGCTGTAGAGGAATTTAGGCACTGAGCCATGGACGGAGCTGTTAATATCAGACATTAGGGATTTATATAACTGGATGAGCACTTATGATCATGTTGGCCTGAGGCTTCTGATTAATAGCATGCTATTAATCTTAGCATATGGTATTCTTAAAACACTAGCCTTTGAATTTACAACAAAGTACATGAGTCATTTCACCAGGCAAGGACTCTATAACCCACCCATTCCCAATTCCCCATTAAGAACAAAAACGAAACACAGATTTGGGCAAATTCAAAAGTATTAGTCCACCTTCCACTTGAGAAAGCACTTCCCCGACATCTACAGACCCAGCCTCACTCTGCAGCCCACCTCTTGTTCACCAAACCATCATCAGTTGTAATGTATATTGATTACATCATCAGTACAGCAGCATATACATTCTTGATCCCTGTCACAGTTTCCTCAGTCTTTAATCTGGTGCATTGACATTTTCTCTTTGCTAAATTTGCTTTATATTCTCTCTAATGCTAGTGGTGCTATTTTTTAAAAAAGTCTCATCCACATCTTCCTTCCATATATATGAGTGACTATCGCTCAGTGATAACTGACCTCAGATGACAAGTATGTTTGATGTTTTCCAGAGCTATCGAACTCTATCAACAGAGAATCCTGTGGCTCACTGCAAACAGCAAGAAGGTAACAAACCCTGATTTCCCCCTTTGCCTTCTTTAACTCATCTGTTAACTATATTGTTATCTCAGTCAGACCTCCTTCTGTTGCAAGTGGTAGACCTCATTTGAAATTGGTTTAACTTGAAAAAGAGATTTCTGACCGTTGTGAGTGAAAAGCCTAGACACAGTGGTATCTAGATGCTCAAATAATGTCATCACTTATGCTTGTCTGTGGGCTATCTCCTCTGGGCTGGTTTTATTCTCAGGAAGTCTCTCCTCAGGCTTGGGAGGATGAACACCAGCAGCTGTAAGCTTGTCACCAGTTAGGTAACTCTAATGGGAAGGGACCTTCCTTCTTCTGCCAGAGTACCCAGCCAGGTCCTGAGGTTGACTGTTATTGGCCAATGTACACCAATCACCACAGCCATGAGGAGGAGTTTTACTAAGTGGCTCTGTCTGGAGCTGCTACTCACTGTGAGAAAAGCAGAGATGGGACAAATAAGGAGAAGGCAGGGTAAATCACTCCTAAACCTCCCGGGCTGAGGAACAGGGAGAGAGGGTTACACGTGGAAAGCCACAGTGTTACCAAAAGTGAATGTGCATCCTGGACAGATGTAAACAGCAGACATGCACGAGACCATTTAACCATTTAATGAGATTTGTAGAACTAAGTTTCCTCAACTGATCGGAACTTTTCTTGGCAGCTTGATTGAGAACTTCTTCAGGCCTCAAGAGTAGAATCATGGTCATGGCCAAAGTACCTTTTTAAATTTGCTTGCTTATTAGCCTAGCTTATTTTCCCTCAGGACACCTCATGCAGTAGTGGCTTAAACCCTGGGCTGCTAACCAAAAGGTTGATTGTTTGAAGCCACCAGATCCTCCACAGGAGAAGGATGAGATTAGTTGCCATAAGATGAAAGGAGTTTATGCAGTAAAATGCTGAGTAGGACAAGACATATGAAGTATGACAAGGAGGAAAAAAATAATCTCCACAGTTGTTAAGTCATGAGTGAGCTAAACCAGAAAACTGAATGTTCATAAAATAAAACATAATAAGGTCAAAAGCGTCAAATGCAATCTATTGCCCCACAAAGACTATGGATTTCATAGGAATAAAAGCTCCAGTTCCCAAAGCAGCTATGAAAGGATGAACACTTAGGGGTTGATTCCAACAGCACTGGCACTTGGGAACTAATAGCTGTTATAAAAGTAAGTGGAAGGTCACAAAACTGCGCTGTCAGAATGTTTCATTAGCATGTCTGCCTTTGATGCAAACAAACTCTCTGGTATGCTGGGTTAACTGTTGGACTGCTAACCAAAAGGTCAGTAGTTTGAATCCACCAGCTGCTCTAAGGGAGACCCAATGATGCAGTCTGCTCCTGTTAAGATTTACAGCCTCAGAGATCCAATGGAGCGGCTCTACCATGCGGTGTGGGTCTCTGGGAGCCGGGATTGACTTGACAGCAGTGAGTGGGTTGAGCCTTTGATCAACAGAGAGGGCAGACAGTAAATCAGAATACCAAGAAATTAAGCAAGTTAAGCCGAGAGAACTAAATATCAGACTTTATATCCTACAAAGGATGCTTTTCTCTAGTTTCTAACTTTTCTGTACCAAGTGTGCGTTATTCCTCTGAAAGAGTGAGCAATAAGTATAATTTTAAAATAGAACATTTAAACAGTAGTCTGAAACATACCAGGAGCAGATAATACTCAGAGCTAATGACAAGAGGGTGAGTTTTGCTTTTCCCTCCTTGAAATGGGGCTTCCATCCACTTCTCAGGGAGATGAGGGTGTTCACACCACCATGTTGCCGATAGCTACTCTATGGAAGGTTTAAGGGAAGAAAAAGCAGTTTGTGTTTGCTATGTCCTAATGTTGTGCGTGGCTTTAGGTGTTTGGCCACATCAAGGGGACCCGAGTTGGCCTCCTCATTGATGTGTCAGCGGTCAGCAATGGTCCTGAGAAAGAGGAGTTCCAGAATGACCTCATGGTAAGACTTGTAAGCTTCCAGAAGTATCTGGAACCATCCCTGTGTCTCCCTTCCTGAGTTTGCTAAACAGGCTTTGTTGTTTTGCTAAGCAAATGCAAAATAGATTATTTTATGAAGAATGGTTCACTCTTAATTAGCACCTACAGTGAAAGAAATGTGATGGATTGTGAGAAACCCAACCACAGACTCATTTCTTTGGCAGCCTGAGCTTCTAGTATTCTCACATAGCAGTATTTCCCCTGATTAGGGCTTTCTTCAAGAGCATATCATTCCCTGGAAAAAAGACCAGAAAGAACTGGGAGTTGACTCCGTTTCCTGCCTGTTCTATTTTTTCTTTCTTTTTGTTTTATTATTTTATTTTTGCGTGTACCATCAAATCGGATCTGACTGGTACAAGGAAGAGATTGTCCCTCTTTCTTCAGCAGAGCATCTGGTGGATTCGAACCACTCACCTCTGGGGTTTCAGTACAGCTTCTTGCCACTAGGCCATTGGAGCTCACCACTGCTTCCTGCCTTTAAAAAAAAATATATATATATATTATTTTTGTGTGTACTGTCAAACCGGATCTGACTGGTACAGCACAGTGCCTGTTGGATTTGAACCGATTGCACTGCAGCTTCTTGCCACTAGGGCGCCAGTGCCCCCTAGCTTCCTGCCTTTTCTAGAAGGAAGAGCTATTCCCTTGTCTTTGAAGTGTCCTTCGAGGAGTTGCACATTGTCAGTCTGGGTCCTTAATGGAAAAGATGAAAATACTAGTGTCAAATCCCAGCTGCCTCTACTTCTACCACTTTTGGGCTGCGTGACGGTGCTATCCAATCTCTGTACCTTAGCTGTCTCCCTCCAACCTTACAGAGGGTGAAGAGAACTCAAAGAGCAGAGTGCCCAGTACAAATTCTAGCATAGAGAAAAAGCTCTCTAGTCTCCATGAAGTGACGTGGAGTGGGTTTTTATCCTTAGCCTAACTCCTAGAGCTTCGGCTGGAGTCCGTTGCAGCAATATGGTTCAAAGACCATATCCCTTTAATGGACCACTAACCCAGACTTGCAGGAGTGGCATCTACTTCCTAAACAACATGCCTCTGGAAACTCCATGAACATTGATAAATGCCGATAGTTGTACAGAGGCTACAGGCCTTTTGTTCATAGGGTCTCTATGCGTCGTGCTCGACTTGAAGGCAATCAACGACAACAACAACCCGCACTCAGCCTCTGTCACTGGCCCTAGCCTGAGTCAGGAAACAGGATTTTGTCAGGACTGGTTCCCTTTCATGACAAAAGCACAGAGCTGCATTTCCAAAAGTCCCCAGTGGGTCTGATATTAGCCAGGACATGACTCATGTTGGTGATAGGCAAAGTGACATTTCCAACTGGCTAGGAAGAAGAGAAAAGAGTTAGCTAGCATCTCTGTTGACTGACTGCACACCTATAATTTTCCCAATTTGCATCCTTCAAATCCACCAGCTCCTCCACGGGAAGGGAAAGGGCAGCTTCCTCCTGTGCGATATGCAGTCTCTGAAAACCCACTGGAGGGTCAGGTTTGAGTCGGTTCCAACTTGACAGCACATAGCAACTACTCACCCATCATTCCCATTGCTGCATCCCCAGAGGACAAGCCTAGGGGAGAAACCACGGCCCCTGTCCTTTGCCTTCTGCCTGGGTGCAGCTATAATGGATGCTAAGACAGGCAACTACGATTCTCATGGCCCCCACTTCAGATGAGGGAGACGCAGCGCTGAGATGCTGCCCCAAGAGAGACCTTCTGTCTTCAGGAGGTGGAGTTAATGAAGGCACAATTAGGGGGTTCAGAAGAGTCATGTCCCACATCCACCAAACACAGTCATGGGACAAGCATGCCCTTAGGAGACCCAGTGCAAAAGAATCAGATGCCCTCTTTGGTCTGCTAGATAAAGCCGAGGGGTCAGCCGAGGCAAAGAGGGGCACTAGCTCCTCCCGGCTCTGTGAGCAGTGGGGTCCTTTCATCCCCAGGCTCTCATTGACGAGCAGCTGAGCCACAAGGAGCAGCTGTATATTCTCTCCTTCGGTGGCACCACCAGGACCCTGTGGCCAGACCCCATGGAAGTCAGCGCCTCCACGTGAGTGACCCCCCACACACCCGTCCTGTCTCAACATGCATTGTTGTTCGTTCATTATCTTCCCTGAGTAGTTAGTGTCCTTGTTGTATAAATAAGGTGTAGATAAGGTGATCTTATAAATAAATAAGGTCCAATGGATAAGTGAAGATAAATAGAGGAAACACTGTGGGGGTAAATGCTCACCTTCATGAACGAACGATGCACAACACGAAAGGCAAAATGGCCATAAGACACCTTTTCTATTCCACCCGCCAGCAGAAGCAGCTTTATAATCGTGAAGATCTGCTTCCATAGACAGTCTGTGGTGCAGAAACACAATCATGTGCTTATCCTGTTATATTGGTTGTTGTTGTTGTTGTTTACCATCAAGTCAGAACTGACCCATAGACAACCCTCCAGAAGGTTTTCAACGACGGTAAATCACATGGGAGGAGATTGTTCATCCTTCTCCCACAAAGTGGTTTGTGGATTCTAACGGCTCCTGGAATTGCAGTACGGTTACTTACCACAATCCACGGCCCTCAGGCCTAGTTTTTCATTGTTTTTTGTTCAAACATTTTTCTAGGTCGTATAGTCCTGGTCTGTCCACTTGCTGTTACCACAGAGGTAACTCGCGGTTGATGTGAAGCTAAACACTCTGACAGTAATGTGTCAAATGTGATAATGGTTACCCATGGTGGACAGTGTTTGGTGGAGCTCCCCGATGAAAACAAGCTTGGAAGCAGGAGTGGCATCCACTTCCGTAATAGCTTGCCTCTGGAAACCCTATGAACCTGGAGCAAGGATGAAAGTCACACAAGTGTTGAGGACTTTCGTTCATAGGGTAGCTATGAGTCACCTACAACTCGTCGGCACTTAACAACAACAACAACCATAAACAGATGCAGGTTACACTGCTGTGTGCACCTCAGCACTTTCACTTTATAACACATCAGCAGCATCATTGCTTATCAATATCTCCTTAGCTTACTGCCACGGAGTCAATTCCAACTCAAGAGTAACTTTATATGACAGAGGACAGCTGCCCCATAGGATCGCCGAGGCTGTCAATTCTTTCTGGAAGCTGAGTGCTTTCATTATTTTCCTGAGAATGGTTGGTAGATTCCATCTGGGGCAATTCTACTCTGTCTTCTGAGTTACTGTGAGTCCTACCTCCTTATGATGAGGGTAGGGGAGATTCAGCGGTAGATTTTCTGCTTTCCATGCAGGAGACCGAGGTTCGATTCCCAGCCCTTGCACCTCGTATGCTGCCTACCCATCTGTCAGTGGAAGCACTTGCATTTCTATGATATTGAATAGGTTCAGCACGGCTTCCCACCTCAGATGGAAAAAAGGACAACTGATCAATCCCTGAAAATCAACTGGAAGCCATATGACCACAAGAGTCTGATCCGCAGCAGCCGTGGGGTTGGCACAGGATTGTGTAGCAATTTGTCCCCTTGTTTATGGACTCACCATAAATTGAGGCCTGACTCCCATGGTCGATAAAAAAACACTTAATTTTTGTAATTATAATTTTTATAATTTCATTATTTTTAATAGCTACGTAGCATGCAACTGCATGGACGTCTTGTGATGTATTTTGTTGTTGTTGCTAAATGCTGTCAAGTCAGAACCGTCTCATAGCTGACCTTCTAGTGGGTTTTCAGGGGCTGTAAATTGCACAGGAGGAGATTGCCTGTCTTTCTCTCACAGAGCAGCTGGTGGATTCGAACTGCCTACTTTTGAGTTAGCAGCACAAGTCCTTACCACTATGTCAGCAGAGCTCCCAAGGATGTTTTATTAGTCCTTTATTTAGAGCTAGTTTTTTTAGGGGAAGAAGGGGAGTGCAAGAGATTTCTCACTCCTACCAGTAAGCAGAAATTCCTTAAAGTAGAACTCTGGTGGCCTCATGACAAGCAGTTACACTACCAACCCCAAGGCAAGTGGTTTGAATCCACCAGCTGTTCTGCAGGAGAAAGATGGACAATCTCTACATTATCTTTTTTTTTTAGTTGTTGTTGTTATGTGCCATCGAGCTGCTTGCAACCCATAGCGACCCTATGTACAACAGCCCTAAACTCTGCTCTGTCCTGTGCCAATCGCACTGTCTCTGACACTCCCATCGCGATAACCCCAGTCACTAAATCAATCCACCTCATAGAGGGCCTTCCCCTCCTGTGCTATCCCTCCACCCTACCAAGCATGATGACCCTCTCCAAGGACTGGTACCTCCTTACAAAATGTCCAAAGCATGTTAGACAGAGCCTCAGAATCCTTGCCTCCAAGGAGCCTCCTGGTTTAACCCTCTTCAGGATGAATCTGTTTGTTTTCCTAGCAGTCCATGGTACTCTCAATACTCTTCTCTAGCACCACAGCTCAAAGGCATCAATTCTCCTTTTATCCTCCTTAGTCACTGTCCAACTTTCTGATGCATAATAAGTGAGAGCAAAGACCATGGCCTGAATCAGACACACCTTAGTCTCCAGAGAGACACCATTGCTCTTCAGTACTTTGGAGAGGTCCCAAACAGCAGACTTTCCCATCGCAATACGTCTTTTTTAGTTACTACATTTCCCCCCTCTTCTCTTTCTCTCTATTTAAAAGGAAGATTTGGCAGTTATAATAAAGGCTTATTAACATCAAGCTGAGATTCTTTTCCTTTTTGTCACTCTGAAAGAGACATGAAAAGAGCAGGACCTCCTCATTAGCTACAGGCAACATAACATACAGGAACAAAGAAAACGGAGTTAACTGATCTTCCCTCTCCCCAGTGGGGTGCGGCCCATTCCATCAGGGAAGGAACTGGATGTGCAGCGTCTACTCTAAAATCCTTCTAGGGCTAGGGGGTTAATCTGAGCTCTAAGCTGAGGTCTGGCTCCCAGGAGAGCTGTGTGAGAAGTTGGAGAAGTGGACACATAGCCCCAGACCTTCAAATAGCAGAGCATCTTGAAGCTCAGGGGAGCTTTGTTGGATGAATTGCATTAGGAAAATCTGCTGCCAGGGACTTGTCCAGAGTGCTAAAGAGCAACCATGTCAGGCTAGAGACTAAGGTGCACGTGATCCAGGCCATGGTCTTCACCATTACTTGTTACACATCAGAGAGCTGGACAGTGACCAAAGATGACAGTTGTGGTGCTGGAGAAGAGTGTTGAACACACTCTGGGCTGTCAAGAGAACTAACAGGTCTGTCCTGGAGAGAGTGAAGCCATGCTGCTCCTTGGAGGTTAGGATTTTGAAGCTCCACCTCACATACTTTGGACATGTTGTCAAGAGGGATCAGTTCTTAGAGAAGGACATCATGATTGGAAGGGTGGAGGGACAGCGCAGGGGAGAAAGACTCTGGATAAGATGGATAGTAACAGGGGTAATGAGGGTAGGCGTGTCAGAGACAGTGAGATGGGCTCATGATAGAGCCGGCTTCAGTGCTATCGGGCATAAGGTCATTATGAATCGTGGTTGACTTGACAGCAGTTACCAACTACAGGTAGAGGCTCAAGTTCTAGAATCAGACTGTGCTGGAAATCTCAACTTTACAAGTTTCCTGCAGTGTGACCCTGGCTAAGTCACCTCACTCTGAGCCTGAGTGTTCTCGTCTCTGTTGGTCGCCCTCAAATCAACTCTAATGCATGATGACGAGTGTACCACACACCACAGTCCTGCAGCATCTTCACGTGTCAGCAGTGCATTCAAGTCTCAGCAGCTCTTGTAGCAAACTGTCTCACCCAGCGTGTCCCTCGACCTTGCTGACCCTCTGCTCGCCAAGCATGATGTCTTCTTCAAGCAGCTGATCCTTTCTGATTAGGTCAACAGCAAGGCAGTCAGATACAGGCTGTTGTAGTCTATGGGTTGTGCGCTGGCTGATTTTCAGAAGTCAATCACGAAACCTTTCCTAGTCTGTTTCAGTCTAGAAGCTCTGCTCAGACCCGCCCACCACAGGTGATCCCTCTGATATTTGAGCATGGCAGCAGAGCTTCCTGTAGCGCCAGAATATGCAGGCTGCCACAAGTCTGACAAACTGACAGTCAGATGTGGGATAATGGTACTCAGGGGAGCTCGGTGGGGGCGGGGGGTCTGGTGGTAAAGAGTTGCGCTGCTAGCCCAAAGGTGGTTGTTGTTGTTGTTTGATGCCGTCGAGTTGTAGACGACTCATAGCGACCCTATGAACGAACAGCCTGAGCACTGTTCGTACATGGAGTTTGCGGAGGCAAGCCATTTTAGAAGTGGATGCCGCTCCTGCTTCCAGGCTTGATTTAGTCGGGAAGCTCTAGCCAACACTGTCCACCATGGGTACCCATTACCACGATTGGCACATCACTGTCACAGTGTTCAGCATCACAGCAATCTCGAGTTCCCCCTGTACAGCAACGCACAGACCAGTGCTATACCACCTAGAAGAATGTTTGACAGGAAGACAATTTGAACCTGGCTGAGGTAAGTGGTTCAAACCCACCAGTGGCTCTAAGAGAGAAAGATGGACAGTCTCCTCCTCCCTTGTGATTTCCAGCTTCTAAAATCCTGCAGGAGAGTCAGCCACAGTTTGGTTCTGACTCAATGGCAATGAACCGCACAGAGAGTTGCTGTTAGGTGAACTAACGTTTGTACTGGGCCTGAGAGAGAAGACGGGCAGTTTAGTTTGCTGCTGTTGTTTTCTCCATTGTTACCTCCCCAGCCTCCAGGAACTTAAGCAGTGGGTGAAGAAGCTACAGCCAGAAAGAGGCGCTGACATGCTCCAGGCTCTAAAGAAAGTCTTCCGTATAAAAGGCCTGAATTCTCTGGTGATCATATTGGGAAGCTGGTAGGTCTCCTGTCGGCACTTAGTGGTGAAAAGGGGTCAAGGAGCCAAACTCTTGGCTGGAAAAAAAAAGCTCTTGGAGCGTAACTCTTCACACATGCGTGAGAGAGGGGTCCCCTGCGCCTACCTCTATCCTCCATGTTGGGGAGGAAGGAGCACCTGGGGCAGCAGGAAGCAAGCCAGGGTAGCTTAGGTTGGGGCCTCCTCAGCTTAGCATCTTACACAGGTGGCCCCGGACCCCGGTGGTCAGTTAGACCTGACAGCTGTCCCCTGAGGATGACCATTTTGCTCTTGTCATGTCCTCAAACATGTGGGGGTCTCACCTCTGCACTCCTTCTTCTCCTCAGCCCAAACCAGTCTTCAGAAATCCTGTCCGACTACCTCCAGCAGTCCACCATCGGCAGGGGTATCGTCATCCACATCGCCACGTATAAATGCGACAACCAGGTGCCCTCCGTGAGTACCGCCCGTTCCCCAAGTTTCCCTTGGACTTGGTGGCTGTGACACAGGGCGTGGGTGGTGGCTCCCTCCTCCCCTCTGCAGGCTCCTGCATCCAGGTCGGCCTTTACTCACGTGGGAAGCCCTGGGGAATTGGGAAGTTGAGTTGAGAAGAAAGCTGATTAGGGTCTTGGCATTGAGCCTGTGAGGGCTGATCCTGTCACCAACCCTGCAGGCTGTCCTAAAGAACCTCGCAGATGCTGTTGGGGGCTTCTACCACTGCTACAGCCCGGAGACAGAGGTGAGATCTTTGACACGCTGTCCTGGCCTGCCTCTCCCTGCCCTCCTCCAGGGGGACATGGAGGGTGGGGGTTCTAGACCAGGACAACCAATGCTACCAGCTTGCTTCCTCTCCACCCCCACCCAACCCACTCTATGGAGTGGATTTTACCAGGTAAAAGCAAGTTAAAAAGAACTATGCAGTTTGTTAAGGAGAGACACTGAATTTCTGTTAAAGGAACAGAATAATCTGAAAACAGTTATTTGTTGCACAATGTGACGGCCAAAATCAGCCTCATTAAACTGTGCATGTAAACTCTGCAGGGTTGACAATTGTTTGATTTTATGCATTTTTACCACAATCCAGTAATTAAAATTATGAAAGAATGCGAGTTCCATCAGAGCAGGCATCTTGGGGCTGTCTGCATGTAAGCCCCTTCCGGCGGGGGAGACACCAGGTCCAGCCTTTTGATATGTTTTGTCACCAGCATGACCAGGAGCTTAGTCAGAGCTTTGAGCCATACTGAAATATTTGGAGTTGGAAAAAAACAACAACAAAACACAAAATATGATTTGGAAATGGATTAATAAGAAATGTTGTGCATTAGCCTGTGATCCCCCAGCACAATGCTCTGCGGCCTCTTTGGGGAAATATGCATTTCACAGTTACAGGCCCTAACAACAGCCCATAGTCAAAGTGATATATTCTTTTCTAAAACTTTTTTCCCTTTTCCGATTTTGTTTAAACATTTATGATGTTTTTGTTTTTCCCATTGTTGCACGTTTCCTTGCCCCCCCTTCCCTCTTCTCTTTTCCAGCACCCTTTGTTCCAGAGTGTTGTCATTCATAGAATACCTAATCATATATTTCTTTCAGACAGTTCTTCCCTTCATCTGTTCTAGTGTAGTGTTCTTTATCTGTCCACTCTTTCCCTATCACTCTCTAAGCCCCCAGTGTCGGTCCAATACTATAACAGCAGTGTTATGCAGTACTTGTCCTTCTGTGACTGGAGTTCTTTCACTCTGCATAATGTCCTCCAGGCTCTCCCATGTGGTATAATGTTTTATGGGTTAATTCTTTTTCAGTGCTGCATAATATTCCATTGTGTGAACATACCATAGTTTTTCTATGTCTTCATTTGTTGATGGGCACTTGTGTTGCTTCCGTCTCTGCTATTGTGAACAACACAGCAAAAACATGGGTGTGCATACATTTATTTGAGTAATGGCGCTAGTATCTTTAGGGTATATTCCCAGTAGAGGAATTGCTGGGTCAAATGGTATTTCTATTGCCAACTTTTTGAGAAAACTCCAGACTACCTTCCATAGTGTACCATTTTACACTCCCATCAGTGATGAATAAGAGTTCCAATCTCTCCACAACCTTGCCAGCAATAGTTGTTTGCTGGCCTGTTGAACTTCTCTATCTCATAATTGTTTTCCTTTGTGGAAAAAAACTTTTTACCATGATCTGAGTAAAAGTTTAGAGAGCAAATTTACTTTTTCCATTTAACAACCCATACACTTTATTTTGTTGACATTGATTACAGCCTCCACATCATAGCAGAACTCTTCCCACCTCCTCCCTGTGTTTCCTGTTTCCACTCAACCTTCCACCCTCCCCCTGCCTTCTGAGCTTGATCCTTGGGTAAAAGGCTCGTTTGTTCTTACCGTTAACTGTTTTTAAGGCATGCATTCCTCTTTAGTGTTATTGGACAGCATATCTTATAAAAATTTATTGCTTTGATTCCAACTCAGTTAATCTATTGGACAAAGTAGAACTGTCCATCAGTTTTCTTAGGCTATTAATCGACACAGACTGCCTCATCTTTTTCTTGAAGAGTGGCTGGTGGGTTGGAACCACTGACTTTTTGGTTAGTAACTCAACACTCAGTCCTCACTGGGGCTCCTGATCATAGTATAGGTCAATCTATTGTTGGGCTGAGAATTGAGTCATGGAGGCAATTTCCATTCCAGGCTTGAGGGTAATCATCTGCAGCATCCCGTCAGTCTCTATTAGGTAGTAGACCTTGTCTTCTTTATGATTTTTTAATTTGGGTCTACATTTTTCTCCACATCTGTCATGGACTTCTGGGTTTTGTCCCTTTTGGAACCATTAGTAATGTTATTTGGGCACTATCTAGTTCTTCTGGTCTCAGAATGATGGAGGTTTAAGTTCATGTGGTCCATTAGTCCTCTGGACTAATATTCTTGGATTTTTCTTCACTCTTCTTTGCTTTGGACATAGAAAGTCTACTACTTGCACCTTAGTTGTTCACTTGCAAGCTTTTACGATTCTAGTTGCTGCTCATCAAAATACAGCGTAGGACATTGTGCTTGTAGATTGTGTCATGCCAGTTGACTTTGATGTCCCCTGGGTCTATGGTCCTGAAATCCCAGGCCCAGTCACTCATTCCATCAAGATGTTTGTTAATGGCTAATACGTTTTCATTCTTTTTCATGCTACTATACACATAGACCTTTTTTTGCAGCACACATAGATATGTACATAGAAATAGCCTCTGCCAAACTTATGTGGTCTTGAGTGTGGGCTTATTTGTCTGCGTAGTGTATATTCTTTTTTTAATTGAGATTTTAATGAAAGTTTATAAAGGACTTGGATTTCCATTTATTCCTTGTTGCACTTTTCACTCCCCCAGTTCACTTTTTCTTGGGGGGGGGCTTATAAAAAGTTATTTCATTGTTATACAGTCCCTCCCCCCAGACCACTTTACTATGCAGCTCTTATTCTGGACTCTTGTCCTACCAATAATATCTATATTCCTTTTATATAGTTCACTGTCTCGTCTGTTTCAATGTCATGTACATTATTTATCCCCTCTTTTCTTCATTTCCCCTAGCCCCCATGTCATTTCTGTTTTATAAAAGTGATATTATCCAGTATTTGGGTTTTTTGTGACTGAGATCTTTCAGTTGGCACAATGTCCTCCAGGGTCACCCATTTTGTATAATATTTCATGAGTTCCTTGTTTTTCAGTGCTGCATAATATTCCATTGTGTGAATATGGCACAGCTTTCCTATCCATTTATTTCTTGTTGGGCACTTGGGTTGTTTACAACTCTTTGCTATTGTGAACAAAGCCGCAGTAAACATGGGTGTGCATATATCTGCTTGGTTGGCGGTTATGATTTCTTTGGGGTATATTCCCATAGTGCAATTGCTGAGTCAAAATGTATTGCTATTTATGGTGAGCTCTGGTGGCCTAGTGGCAGGAAACTGCACTGCAATCCCAGAGGTACACGGTTCAAATCCACCAGATGCTCTGCTGAAGAAGGAGGAACAATCGCCTCCTGTATCAGTCAGATCCAATTTGACGGTACACACATAAAATAAATAAATAAATAAATAAAGGCAGCCAGCTGCTTTCTCAAAGAAAAAAAGTATTGCTATTTACAACTTTTTGAGAAAGCACCATACTGCCTTCCATAGTGGTTGCACCATTTTACACTCCCCACAACCAGTTTCTTGCCAGAATTTGTTGTTTGTTGCTTTGTTAAATTTTGCTATTCTTACTGAGGTGAGATGATATCTTGTAGTCATTTTGATTCGCATCTCTCTTAGAGCTAGGGATTTTGAACATTTCTTCATGTGTTTGTTGGCCATCTGAATGTCTTCTTTGGTGAAGTGTCTGTTCATATCCTGTGCTCATTTTGCAATTGGGTTGTTAACTTTTATCTTGTTGTATATTCTTTTTAAAAACTCACTTTCCTTCAGACTTCCCCTACAAACCACCTAGGGTTACATTTAAAAGAATTTATTATCTGAATATTAACAGTCATGGCAACATTTGTCTTGATAATCTAAGACCGCACTGGTCTCCTGCTTTAACAACTTTTCCGGTTCTTTTATCCATTTGTTCACTGCTGTGTGATTCAAAGGAAGCTCTGGTAGCCTGGTGGGTAAGGAGTTGTGCTGTCACCCCAAAAGGAGGTGGTTCAAACCCACCAGCTGCTCTTCATGAGAAAGATGGGCAGTCTCTTCCTGAGTGGTTTACAGTCTCTGAAAACTCAACTGGAGGGTCAGCTATGAGTCAATTCTGACTCAATACCAATGGATTTTTTTTAGTTTATGGGATCCAGATCCAGATGTTCCTAGTGCCAGAGTGTATAAGTCTATAAAGCAGACAGAGACGGGGATCAGAATATCTCAGGCGTAGATTTAGAGGTATGCCATGTGATGCTACCTTAAAGTCAAAATAACTGCATTATAGCTAGAACATTATAGCTAGAACTTCAGGTTACTGTTCCTTTTTCCACTTTTTTTAAGGTTCTTTGTTTGTTTGTTTGCCTCCATCCATTCACGTGCTTATTATATAAGACTCAGGTTTTTCCAGCTTTAGGCAAAGATTGCTTTCAGAAATTGTGAAGTAGCTGCAAGAGAAAAGAGTTTTTAAAACATGAGCATCTGTAACATGCTAGGAAGGATGGAGGGTCAGAGACAGAGAGGAAGACCTTTAATGAGATGGATTGACACCGTGACTGTGACTTGAGCCTTTCAGAGATGATGAGGATGGTGCAGCATAGGGCATGGCTCAGGTCTGTTGTTCATAGGGTTGCTATGAATTCTAGTCAACTTAAAGGTACCTTACAACAACAACATATGTGACCAATGTCTCCCCTCTGACTTGGTTATGAGACTGAAACCATTCTCCACTGATCCAACCATTCCCCATTGTTCTAACCATTTTTCACCGCCCTAACCATTCCTCACTGCCCTGACCACTCCTCACTGCTCTGACTACTCCTCTCTACCCTAACCATTCCCCACTGCTCTAACCATTCCCCACTACTCTAACCATTCCCCACTGCTCTAACCATTCCCCACCACTCCAGCCATTCCCCACTGCTCTAACCCTTCCCTACTGCCCTAACCATTCCCCACAGCTCTAACCATACCTTATCATTTTAACATACTGATGAAACCATTCAACAGGATGAATGCATCTGACAGGATGAATGCTCAGGTGTCACATCAAAGGAAGCAATGTTACACTAGCAACAT